CGAACAGAGCCACGTTCAGGACGTCGCGGATGCGAGTTTCGAGCCGATCGTCGAGCCCGTCGCGTCGCCGAACGAGAAGCCCGTCGCGTTGCTGGAGGCGGAGGAGGAGGATCCTGAGGGCTCTCCGTGGAAGGTCACGGAGGTGGGGGAGGAGCTGCGCGGCGGAGAGCGGCAGGTGGTGTCGAACGGGGGGTGGGCGAGGGCTGAGAATATCATCGTGCTCGAGGGTCGTGCTCTCGTCCGCGTTCTCTCAGACGTGCTCTTCGCGACTCGAAGTCGTTCGGCGAGCGCGTCGTTTTCCTTTGTGATAACATGGGGCTCGTGTGTGCGATCGAGAATGGCCGCTCCTCGGCGGGGGGGTCCTGCGAGTCGCTCGCCACTGGGCGGCCTGGTGCCTGGCTGGAGCGGTGCAGGCGTCAGTGCGATGGATTCCGTCTGAGCGGAACATCGCTGATGCGCCGTCGCGCCGCCGCATCCCCATCGGTGTCAGGATCTACTCCTCCGAGGCGGGCGCTGCAGCGAGGCTGGGGCGCTGGCGCCGCAGGGGCGCTGGGCGCGCCAGCTGGCTGGCCGGCGGCCGGGGCGCAGGCCGCGAGCTCGCCGAGCTGGCCGTGCGCGGGCCCGTGGTCGGTAGGCTCCGCGGCGCCCGCCGCGGCGAGCAGCGCGGCCCCGGGCAGCCCGCCGCCTCCGCCGCGGCGCCGAGGGCGGCGCCTGAGCGCTGAGGCGGCGCAGGCGAGGCCGGAGCTGGTGGGGCAGCCGACTCCAGGGGCCAGGAGCTGCAAGGTGGCGCGGGTGGCTCGGCGGGCCAGGGGCGCTGTCAGCCGGGCTCCATTGCCGGCTCCGCGCGGGGCCGCGTCTCGTCTGCAGCGCGCCTCGGTGGCGCCGAAGTCGCAGGACATCCTGCGTCTGTGGCAGCCGCTGCGCCCGCCCGGATCGATCCAGCCCGAGCCGAGCGATGACGAGCTCGACCTCGTGCTGTCGAGGTGGATGGATCAGGAGTATCCGTTCGGGGAGCTGGCGCAGCGCGCAGCGAGGGGCCCAGGGTCTGTCTGCAGCGAAGTACTTCAGGCCGCAGTGCGCCAGGGCGGGCGGCAGGTGTCTGCCGCAGTCGGTGCGGGCGCTGAAGGGGTGGAACCGGCTGGCCCCAGGGCGGGCTCGGCTGCCTCTGCCTTGGGAGGCGGTTGCGCTGATCGCGCTGGAGCTGCTGCTGACGGGTTGCTGGGCGATGGCGGTCTGGGCGGTGATCACCTTTCAGTGCTACCTTCGCCCGAGCGAGCTGCGTCGGGTGTTCGGCGAGATGCTGGCGCCGCCGGTGCCTGGAACGCACGTGCTGCACTGGGCGATTGCCCTGCGCCCCGGCGAGGGAGCGGTCGGCAGCAAGACGAGGGAGTTCGACGAGACCGTCGTGTTCGACCTGCGGCTGTTCCACTTCGCGGCGCCCGCGCTTGCCTTCCTCGAGCGCGAGGCCCCGCCGCGGGAGCCGCTGTTCGGGTTCGGGCGATCCGATCTGGTGGCGCAGTTCCGCGGGGCCGCCCATCGGGCGGGCCTGCGGGCGCTGGGGCCCGAGCTGTGCGCGCCGCGCCGCGGCGGGCCGAGCCGCGACCGAGCTTGGCAGCTAAGAACGCTGCAGGAGATCCAGCTGCGAGGGTGGTGGCACTGCGATTCGAGCGCCAGGCGCTGCCGGGGGGGGCGCGCGGGGGGGCAGCTGCAGCGGCTGTCGCCCGACGCTCGGAGGCGCGCGGTCGTGGCGGCCTCGCGGCTGCCCTGCTGCCTCGCGAGGCCTTCGCTTGCGCCCTGGCCAGCAGGGGTGCCCGCCTCGTCCAGCCGCCGGTCTTTCTAGAGCTGTTCAGCGGCAGTGGCGGGCTCTCGCGGGCTATGCGGGCGAAAGGCTTCCAGGTGCTAGAGCGGGGCATCCAGCGAGGCGCGGCGTGGGATCTCTCCGCGCCAGCTGCCCGCGAGCTCGTCCGCGGCTCGATCCCTGCTGGCCTGGTGTGGGGGGTCTTCCATGGGGCGCCGTGCCAGACCTGGGCGCGCGCCCGAGACGCGGGGCCGCTGCGCGTGCCGGGGCAGGCCGGGCCGGCGTTGCCTCCGAGGTTGAGATCGGATCGACATCTAATGGGGCTTCCTGAAGTGACTCGCCCGAGTGATCAGGAGGCTATTCGAATTGACAATATTCTTGCCGGTTTATTTTGCAGTATGTTCGAGTCGATGCGTCTCTTGGGCCGCGCAGTAGCCTTTGAGAACCCCGCCCGCTCCCGTTTGCGGCTTCTCCCGCGTTTGCGAAAGGCTTCGAAGTGGAGCTCCAGTGCTTCAGTACTCGCGGACATGTGCCAGTGGGGCACCCAGCGTTTCGCTCGATCTCATCGCTCGCGTGTGTCATAGTTGCGGTTCTGTGTGCAGTGGGGCAGGAATAAAGCGTGCACCCATCCACGGTTTAGCGCGGGGCGGTGGTTCTCAATAGTACCCGCCGTCGCTGTGTGCCGTGCTCGCAGAGTGTTTCAGTCAGGCGCACGGTGTGACTCAGACCACTATCCTGTCCAAAGTTTTCCTTTCGCGGTGAATGTGTGCACGTGCTGTAGTTTTTGGTCAACGGTAAAGTGTTAAGCTTGTTTAGACGTGGCCAAAGGATTGTGTGGCAGGCTTGCGTTGTTTGAACCCCTGTCGGAACGACCAGACAGCTGTCGGCCTTGAGCGCGTCTGCCCGCCGTCCAATCGTCTCCGCCGGTGCTGTTTTCAGCGGCGCTTGTTCGGTCGCATCGGCGGCCCGAAAAAAAAACGTCTTCTGGCCTCGGTGGCGGCGGCGGCAGGCGGCATGCGCTCTACTTTGTTGATGATTGCCAGATGCCACAGCACGAGAGGCCGCGTGTTTCAGAGGAGCCTTGACCCGCTGCCGTTTTCTGGTCTCCTCGTCGCGTTCCCTGCCCTCCCTCCCTCACGCGTTGTTTGAACCCCTGTTGGGGAGATCAGACAGCTGTCGGCCTCGAGCGTGCCTGCCCGCCGTCCAATCGTCTCCGCCGGTGCTGCTTTCAGTGAAGCTTGTTCGGTCGCATCGGCGGCCCGAAAAAGAGCGTCCTCTGGCCTCGGCGGCGGCGGCAGGCGGCAGCCTCATCATTGTCTTCCTCGCCCCTCCTTCTTTGTCTGTCCAGCTGAGTCCCAAGAGGCTAATTGTTTGCCTGTCTAGTGGAATCCAATTCGCCTTTCACGCGAATCGTGCCCCGGAAGGAGCTCCAGCTGTGGAGCCCATGGGCAAGTTCGCATGGCGCCCCCCCGCCCATGTCGGCGACTGCCCCGCGCGGTTGATGCCCCGCAGGGAGCTGCGCCTGCTGCGTCAGTGGGCGTGTTCCCGCGGGTGCATCCATATTATTCGGCACACCTTTCACGCGGACCGTGACCACAACAAGGGGTTCAGCGCGCCTGCGCACGCCCCCTATCCGCATTGCCCCGCGGCGCGCAGTATATGAAGAGAGGGCCGCGCCCTGCGCTACACGTGACTACAGAAGGTTGCGCCGTTCACCGGGCTATTTGTTTGCTTACCTACGGGCCTTCGGCTCATACTGCCACCGTGCCATGGGTTGTGGGTCAGAGGCTTCTGGGATACCTGTTTGGGGTCTCTTGGCATGCTTCCCGGGCGCCTTTGAGCCACTTGCGAAGCCTCTACGGGGCCTCTTGGGGGCTGTTTGGGGCCTCATGGGGACTGTTTTGGGCCTCTTGGGGGCCTCTTGGGGGCCTGCTGGCGGTCTGGGGGGTCGACATGGGGCGGGGGGCTCGGAATGTGAGCTGGAGTTCGCCCCTTTGGCCCATCTCAGGCCGTCAGGGGCGCCTCTTGGACCGTCTTGGGGCTCGTTTGGGCCGCCTTGCGGCTCTCTTGAGGGCCTGCTGAGTTGTCATTGGGCGATCTTGGGGGCCTCTTGGGCCCCAGGGCCGTCTTGGACGCTGTCATACGATGTTAAGACCCAAGAAACAAGTATGTTGAACATGTACAGCTTCTGAAGAGAATGGGACAACTTTGGGCATTTGGGGCGCTCTTGGTGAGTATGTTTGAGCCTTCTTGGGGCGTATTCGAGGCCTCGTGAGGGCTCTTCGGCCATCTGGGGGCCATCTTGGGTCGTCTTGGGCGCTGTTGCGCCGCTCTTGTCGCTGCGTCGTGCTCCCTGGAACTCTTTTGGTCGGGGGTTGGCCCGGGAGGCCCCTGGGGTGTGTGTGCCCAAATGGGGGGGGACAATCCGGGAGGGTGTCCCAGCCCAGGGCCCGAGTTCCCGGTACTCCGACATACATATATATATATATATATATATATATGTATATATATGTACATATATGTATATGTATATGTATATGTACATGTATATGTATATGTATATGTATATGTATATGTATATGTATATGTATATGTATATGTATATGTATATGTATGTGTATATATGTTTATGTATATGTATATATATATATATATATTTATGTATATGTTTATGTATATTTATATTTATATTTATATGTATATGTATATGTATATGCATATGTATATGTATATGTATATGTATGTATATATACATGTATATATTATATATATATATATATATATATATATATATATATATCCCCAATGGCTCGCAACATCGCCCAAAAAACGGCCAACGCTGCCCTTGGACGGTTTCGAATGGCCAGCTGGGGCATGGTGGAGGCCAGGATTCCCAGCAATGCTGTGGGATCTCGAAAGTTGCCACGCGACGGGCCACAGGAGCGCCGTTGAGTGCCTGGGAGTCGGACGCTTGAGCCTGTGGCCATATCCGTTTCAATTCTCGAGCATTCGATACTGAGGATCAAACGGCCTGAGGATATTCCACAACGTGCCGGAGGCGCGTTGGCGGACATCACCGCTCGCCGCACCACAAGCTGTGTCGACAGGGCGGTCCGTAGCCATTGTCGCTCAAACTGCGGCACCTGACAGCGGGCTGGACCGACCGCGGGTCCGCGGTGCCGTCCGCTGGTCCGCCACCGACATGGCGAGTCCGACGGCGGGCGCGGCTTGCCCCAGCCGCTCCGCGCAAGAACACCTGATGTACTTGCAGGAGAAGGTCAATCCGATCTTGGAGGCCTTAGTGACGGCGGTGCTGCTCGAGCGCCCAGAGGAACCCGACTTCTTCATGCTCAAGTGGCTTTGCGAGCAGACCAAGACCATAGACGCGTCGGAGGGGCAGCGAGGCTCTTCTTCGACAACAGATGAGATCGCAGAGCTCAGGAAAGGGATCGAGGCGCTCAAGGAGCGCAAGGCCGAGCTGGAGGCCAAGAAGGCCAGCAGCAGGACCGACTCGAAAGCAGACGCCCAGCCGCCCGAAATGAAGTCCGACAAGTCCACGAAGGTGGACGAAGAGGAGGACGACGAGGAGGACGAGGATGATGATGAAGGGCCAGACGAGATCCCAGAGCCCCCGAAGATGAACCGGGGGCCCCGGCAGAGCGTCTCCGCCGAGGCATATGGCATGTGGAACAAGAAGAGCCTGGACTTTGCCGCCCCAGTGTACGATAAGACCGTAGAGCAAAAGACGCGGATCGAGAAGTGCTTGGAGAGCTCTTTCTTGTTCAACGGCCTAGACAAGCAGGACTTGAACACGCTGATACTCGCCTTCAAGGAGAAAAAGGTCACGGCCGGCGAACGTGTCATCCAGCAGGGTGACGACGGAGACTGCATGTATATGCTCGAGACGGGTTCGGTGGATTGCCTGAAGAAGGTAGGGGATGACGAGAAAGTAGTCAAGACCTGTGACAGCGGCGAGGTCTTCGGCGAGTTGGCCTTGCTTTACAACTGCGCACGAGCGGCCAGCGTAGTGGCCACGGAGGACGGCACATTATGGGTGCTGGATCGGGAGACTTTCAATTTCATTGTCAAGGACGCCGCCTCGAAAAAGAGGGATACGTACACAGAGTTCCTGAAGAAGGTCCCCCTGTTTGCCAACATGGACACCTACGAGATGATGACCGTAGCCGACGCCCTGAAGGTAGAGACGACGGAGAAGGACTCCCAGGTCATAAAGCAGGGCGATGTCGGCGACAAGTTTTACATCATCCTGAGCGGCGAGTGCGTGGCAAAGCAGAGCCTGCTCCCTGGGCAGCCAGAGCAGGAGATGATGGTGCACACGGCTGGGGACTACTTTGGGGAGCTCTCCCTCATCAAGAACCAGCCCCGGGCGGCCAGCGTCTATACGTCAGCGCAGGCCAAGCTCCTCTCGATGGACCGCAAGACCTTCAAGCGGCTGCTGGGCCCCATCGCGGAGATCCTGCGCAGGCAGGCGGTGCGATACGAGAAGCCGGAGGCCCCAGAGGAGGCCAAGTAGACGACATCCTCGGCCTGCTTCCGCCGCGCACTGCTGCTCCGACGTGCCCGTGGGCCGCCGGCTTCCCTCATGGGCAGCGTTGGGAGGAGACGGGCTCGGGGGGGGGGGGACGCATCGACCCCCAATCGCCCAGGCATCGCCGAGAGGCGCCTGGTGGCCCACCCCGCCCAGAAGTGTGCGGGTTCGCAATCGGGGGCCCATGGCTGATCTGTCGGCGATGCATCGCCGACTTCGGGGTGGTGTTGCCCCCCTGGGCCACACCCCTCCTAGTCCCTCACTCATGCGGCCTCCCGCTGCCCTCTCCTTTTCACACCTCGCCTTGCCCGACCACCCCGTCTCACCCCTCCGGCAGGTGATCCTCGGTGCGCCTGCCTGGGCCCTTCAGTACAGAGACCGCTGCCCCTTCCCCCCTCCTGCGAGCGCCTGTGAGGCCTGCTCGGGGGTGGACAGAACCCCCAACAGTGACACGTCGATTAGTGAATTGTCCGTTTTCGGTTCTCGAGAGGGCGCCGTGGCCGTTATTTCCCAGGCCTGCGCCCGCCAGGTTTGGGCCTCAGGTCGTTTTCACTAAACCACGTTTTACTAAAGGGAGGTCTGTCCATCCCCGACTTGCGTGCACGCCAGTCGCAAACCGGGAGCCTGGAGCCACGCTGTCGCATCCAGCGACGTAGAGCCTGGACGCGGGCGGGCGCATAGCACCAGCCTTGCGAGGCACCGCCGCTGCTGCCGCGGAGGGCCCAACCACCGCGGCGCGGTGCCACCGCCTGGAGCGGTGCGGCTCCGGCGAGGTTGGCTTGCACGGCGCTTGTCCTCCGAGGCCGTTTCGAACGCTGCCTCGGCGCCGAGGGAGATCGCCCACAGGGCACGCTCTTGCCATCATTTGGCCGCCTTGCTGCGTCCCCTTGCGATACCAGCTGGGATGCCTCCGCTGACGCAGGCGGCCGGCCGCACGCTGTGCCTCGCCCTGCGGGAACAAAAAAGGTGTCCGGGGGGCGGTCCAGGCGTTTCGCTCCGGAGTTCTCACACGTCGGTGTGCCGAACCAGTGTCACACGCCCGCTGGGAACTCGTGACCGACCTGGGACGTTCGCTGGCATGAAGTTTCTTGACGCTGCAGGTGCATTGCCTGCTGTAGCTAATTAGCTTCGCCTGCTGGTCCAGACGACGCCTACCGCTCCCTGTCCGCCGCCTCGGAGCCGCCGACCAAAAAAAGTATCCCCACCAGTGCGCTTAGGTAATTAGGTTTGGCTCGTAGCCCAGGCTGACTTCGGACGCCGCCTGCGCTTCCGCTTGCGGCCGCGACGGAAAAAAAACACCAGCCCATCCAAAGCCGCTACCCAGGCGAGTTGAGACGATCGGGAGTGCAGGAGCAACGAGGGGGACAGGGGTCATCGTTCGAGGGGGAGGAGGATAATGGCTGAGGAGGGAGAAGGAAGATCAACTTGCGGATATTGATGATGCTGATGATGATGTTGCTGATGATGATGACGATGATGATGCTGATGATGATGCTGCTGATGATGCTGATGATGATGACGATGATGCTGCTGCTGCTGATGCTGCTGATGATGATGACGATGACGATGATGGTGATGATGGCGATGCTGATGATGATGATGATGCTGATGATCATGATGAGGATGTTGAGGCTGATGGTGATGATGCTGAGGATGATGATGATGCCGACGATGATGATGCTGATGATGATGATGATGATGCTGATGCAGATGCTGCTGATGCTGATGATGATGATGATGAATATGATGATGCTGCTGATGTTGATGATGATGATTATGATACTGCTGATGGTGATGATGATGATGATGCTGATGCTGATGATGATGGTGGTGATGATGATGCTGCTGATGATGATGCTGATGATGCTGATGCCGATGCTGATGCTGGTGATGATGATGCTGCTGATGATGATGATGATGATGATGATGGTGGTGGTGGTGGTGGTGGTGGTGGTGATGATGATGATGATGATGATGATGATGCTGATGATGATGATGATGATGATGATGATGATGATGATGAGGAGGAGGAGGAGGAGGAGGAGGAGGAGGAGGAGGATGAGGAGGAGATGGAGAAGGAGAACGAGCACAAGGACCAGAGGCTTCTTGGATGCCTCTCGGCGTCTCCCAGGATATCTTGTGAGGGCTTGTATGATTCGTGGAGCCATCTTGCAGGCCATCTTGGTGTCTCCTGAGGCTCTCTTGGAAACAGTTCGCCAGGCAAGTGGAGGTGTTGTTGTGAGAGGTTCTCGGAGGTCTCTTGGAGCCATCTTGCGGCTCTCTTGTGGTCCTCTTGGGGCCCTCTTGGGGCCCTCTTTGGGCCCTGTTGGGGCCATCTTGGGGCCCTCTTTGGGCCTTTTGGGCGGTTCTCAGAGGTCTCTTGGGGCCGCCTTGGCCCCCGTAGCTCAAAAGGAGGGGGGTCCTCAATTCAGCCCCTCCCTGGGAGGCTCAAACATGTGGTCTTGGTGCCCTCTTGTGGCGCTCTTGGGGCTGTCTTGGGCGCTTTGGGGGCCATCTTGGGGCCCTCTTGGGCTCTTGGGGCGCTCTTGGGATGTCTTGGAGCCATCTTGGGGCCTCTGATGCCAGTCGGAAGCGTAAAGGCGAGAAGGCAAACAGCATTGATTTTCCTTTGGTTTTGGGTTTCGGCTCGCAGGCCGGAGGGAGTTTAAGCACGCTAGACGAGTGCCCGGCGAGTCACTGACGGCGCCTGATGTTTGCATTGGCGCTGTTGTGCGTTCTGACGCCCAGGTTCTGGGCGCTGGCCGCGCGCATGACTGCGATTGTTGTTCTCGCCTCAGCGCGGGCAGTGCTCTCGATTTTTCCTTGCTTTAGATGCTGTGTGGCGATTCGTCGGAGGGGAGGCCCGATTTGGGCTTCTTGGGGGGGTCCTTGGGGGGCTCGGAGGGCACTTGGAACCGTCTTGGAGCCGTCTTGGGGCGTCTTGGAGGTATGTCGGAAGCTATCTTGAGCCACGAGGAATTATCTTGGACCACTTGAAGGCGATCTTGGGTCTTCCGAGGCCCTCTTGGCGCCATCTTGGGTCATCTTCGGGACTAGCGCCTCTCGGCCCGCCCCCTCCCAGGCCCAGGGGAGGGGGTAGAGGTAGGGGGAGGGGTCAAGTTCGCCAGCTCGAACGAGCCAGAGGGCACCATCCACTCCCACCCGCTCTCCCACAACATAAGAAGCAAGTGCGGCGCGTCCGACGCCTGTCGCTCATCTTATAGCGTGGACGGCGAAACGGTCAGCGCCCGACATGAGCTGCGTCCTACTACTGCCGCGCATTGAGCAACGTCGACGTGAAACAAAACCGCGCGCGATGTACGCCGCGCCCCGCTCCGGCCTGTCACGTTGCATCGTCGGCGACAACATGTCCATCGCATGAAGTGCGCCGCGTCTCATTCCAGCCACGCGTGTTGCACCGCCAATCGTTTCGCTCCTGCCGCGCATGGAGGAGGGGGAGGAGGAGGAGGAGGAGGAGGAGGAGGAGGAGAAGGAGGAGGAGGAGGAGGAGGAGGAGGAGGAGGAGGAGGAGGAGGAGGGGTGGGCGAGAGGGAGGGAGGGAGAAACTGAGGAGGAAGAGGAGAATGCCTCTTGGGAATTCGCGGGGCGTCCCATTCCCGCTACGCGATTCGCAGCGCCGGCGAGGCGAAAATCCAGGTTGGCAAGATAACGTCGACGTTGCGGTGTTTTTTGGAAGGTAGGACGGGGGGTCCCGCGCAGGGTTGGCCAGGCGTCCGCGCGCGATGTGCGCCGCGTCCCATTCCTGCTACACTTTTCGCAGCGTCGACGACAAGACAATCCATGTTGTCGAGAAAAGCGTTGTCTTTGTATTGTTTTTGATAGGTAGGACGCGACCACCCGCGTAGGGTTACCCGAGCGATGTTCATTCCGTCCGATTCGTGCTACATTTTCACAACTCGACGACATGTTGGCGAGAGAAAAGCTGAGCTTGTGTTTTGTTACCATTAAGACGGCGGGGCTGCTATCGGCCAGCTAGGTGGGGGCTTGGGGTTGCTATCGGCCAGCTAGGTTGCTATCGGCCAGCTAAGAATTAAAGGTAAGCCCCTGCCCCGAGCAGGGGAAACAGGAATGTTCACAGAGAGAAGACACAACTCGTTAAATCACATACGTCCAAAAGGCTGGTGGGGTTAGTGCTGCGGCCCCGTTTGGCTTGGGACCTCGCAACTCACAGGGCGCCGAGGCGCCGCGAAAGCCTCGAAAACGACTCAGGCGAAACGCGCCAGACCACCTCTCGCGTGGAATCCCGCGCGCTGGACCACTTCTCCTTCGGGCTGGAAGCCGATACGGCCCCAAGAGTGTGCGCACTATGTTGTTGGCCCGAGCTCGAGTGTTGGTCAGGCGCCGCGCGGACTTGACGGGCTTGTTGACTCGTTCATGGACCTGATGGCCCCTTGACATGACACATCGGCTGCGCCTGCTTGTTCTACGCATGCGGGGACGAGGGTGAGGATAATCAAAAGGGAGGACAAAAGGAAGGGAGGGCGAGAACACGAAACACGAGGGACGTCATATGATTAGGCTCAGGAAGAGAAGGAATAGGTGGACGAGGAGGCGGAGGAGGAGGAGGAGGACGAGGAGGAGGAGGAGGAGGACGAGGAGGAGGAGGAGGAGCGAGAAGGACGAGGAAGACAACGAGGAGGAGGAGGACGAGGAGGAGAGCGAGGAGGAGAAGGACGAGGAGGAGAACGAAGAGGAGGACAACGGGGAGGAGGAGGAGGACCAGGAGGAGAACGAGGAGGGAGGGAGGAGGAGGACGAGGAAGGTGAACGAAGTGAACGCGCGGATGCGGGCGCTTCTCTGCGCCCCACGGGCGGCTTGCGCTCCGCGCGGGAGGAGGAGCCCAGATGGGCTCCCAGGCGCCAGGCCAGCCTGGGAGACAGGGCCGCCACGGCCCGACCCTTGGTCGCCAGAAATCGCGCGCCGATGCGCGAGGGACCGCCTAGTGCCAGGACGGCGAGCTTGCA